TGCCATATTGTTATGTATATATATAGCCTACTTCTCGATAACATTAACGGAGTTGGATTTGCTTTAAGAGAGAAAAATAATGTACCTGAGAACTCAAAATAGAAAACAGTTAATGCTTCATACTTCTTCATGAGCTGAATACTTGCATTCATCTGAAAATTGGAAAAAATTGCAAGACTCTTTACACTCACTTCAAAACAAGTTTCTGCATACTCTCAAGGAATGAAACGGAACCGCTTAAGAGAAGCTTAAGAACGCACTCTTGTAGATATCTTTTAGTGCACCGTGAAACATATTCTAAATACTGAAATTAGTGGAATAACGTGATTTTTAAAAACGCAAAACTTTTTCATCATAAGATAGACGACAAATAAATTCGTTTGTCGGGAAGGATTCTTGCTCTGAAAAAATTAACTCGAAGTCTGGAAGGATTTCGTGCATAACCGATGCATTATAGTGGAGAGTTTTATTTGCCCCACAAAATACATTAATTTGTGTGAAAGAACGTTTCCATTAAACTTAGCCTTACTGAAGTAATTTTAGTCTCGTTTGACAAACTGATTTTAAGGGAATGACAGCAAATTGCATGCTTCATAAGGGTTTTCATGGCGTTCAGCGGCTCAATCCTTCAGTAAACTGATATCTGTGGACTCCAGGATTCAAATAGTTTGACCCTTACTGAGATAACTTCGTAAAGCTGGCTCTTCAATGTAAAGGAAACAAGGACTGGCACTTAATAAAGGTGGCAGATCAATAGCAAACGCTAATTATATCCATAGAAACTAAAGGGATATGATCAAGCTAAGATCAACTAAATCACATAAGTACCAATCACTAGGAAAATGTGTAGGCGATGTCAGAGTCGTATAGCAACCTTAAATCGTGCACAAAAACACTTAATTAATCGGCAAAAAAATTGATATAACAATAAGATGGTGAGCCTAACAACTTGTTCGAAGATCGGTTTTTTTTTAAATACGACACTGAAGACATTCTGGAACGTAACGGTTTGGTCATTACGCAGAGCAGATCGGAAACAACGCTCTCAGAGGAAGAGGGGCGAGGTTGATGTGTGCAATTTCCGACAACATGAAAGCATTTTATGACGTACAGTGGACATATCCTCTGTTCACGCCTTCTCGGGCCTTTATCAAGAGTGCCTTGCAGATGAAATATCGTTATACTAATTGCAGCTGAAAGTTTGGCTTAGCCAATTAAAATGCTCAAGAGATTACTCTAAGAGAGTCTCATTGGATCACTGGGGTTGCTTTCTGTTGGGGTATGTTATGAGTTTCGTTTCGATCGATTTTACATGTTCTGGTTAGCATGTCTCTGACAGCTCTGTATAAATTGTTGACCAGTACTTACAGTAACAATGGCACAATGACATTGCTATAGCGAGGTAAACTCGTTTCTAATATCATTATTCCGGTCATTGTGCTTTGACCCAAACAGCTGATAGCGGTAGTTAGTTTGACAAACAAGGCTTATCTTGTTAAAGAAGCTTGATCACGATACATTGGGGCTGACTGTTTGAAGCGCGGACCTCGCTTTTTCTCAGGGTGAAGAACGCCATATAAAAGGTAACCTTGCTATAAAAGAACAAAAGTAAGGCAAAATGGAACGAAAATGGTTACCAATAGTGAAGACTGATACGGATTGCATAGGAAAAACTTGAAATATTTAGACTAGATTTTTAAAGTTGATCTACTCGCCCACCTGTGAACACAGATTGACCATCTTTCGAAGGAGAAGTCAAGCTTTTCGTGTAATGTCATTTTGAGTTATTCGATAGAAGTTAACCAGAAAATCTATGCTCAAACGCGCTGTTTTCACTCAACTAAAATTGCTTGAAAAGTCACATAATTGATAAGATACAATGTATCATGTTCTCTAAAATCTCCCCTAGATTTGAAGCTTTTTTTGAAGGAGACATTTTTTCGATATTCAAAACAACATATCTGTAAATCTTAAGCTGTATGCTGGTGAACAGTTCGTCAGTATGCAGCCAGATAGTCTCTTTTGCCTATAAGTCGATTTAAGAAAAAAAAAAGCAACTCACCTATATTTAAGTTTTGACTAACTGCTACGCTACATGAACTCTGCTGGTTATAAGCGTAATATTTAAAAGCGTATTATCCGATAAGCTGTGGTGAATCGTAGTCGATTATGCCCTTTGTGATTTGGCAAAGGTGTTGTTTGTAAATGAATTATATTAGTGTTTCTATGACAGTATTTTGCACCCGAGTAGAGCTGAATTGATAAGCGGAAAAGCACATTGGCAAATAAGATTAATTTGATGGCACGCTCGGCGCCTAAAAACAAGAATTCTTAAAATAGTAAATGTCACTTTCCTAGAAACGCTATAGAAACGTTACTAGTATACACTGAATTCAATGATTTCATTTCATTGAAGCTTGCATGGGCTTCACGCGTGAACGCGGAGCTTACACACACAGAAACACGGCTGTTTCAATAAACGCTTTTTAATCAAGCCAGGAGCTACATTTTAATAATCAGAGAAAATCAGAGACTACTTTTGCTAAGTAAGGTAGCTGCATAACCGATAACGGATAACTATGAAAAATGCCTGTTCTTGTTAAAGTACGCATAGATACATGCGTGCGAATTGCTAACAGACGGGACATCACTAATGTTTACGTTTCAAGCAAGTTTTAGAAATATATTTTTTAATATTGCTGCCAGTTCAAAGTGAAGATGAGAGTTGAGGTAGGTAATCTCTAACTACTGGGAAACATAATTCTGAAACAGAGTTGTCAGAGACACTTTTCAAGGTAAGCCGGGATTTCACGGGAAAAATGTCCTCGAAATAGCTTAGATCAGCAGGAAGCTGAAAGACAATTTCTGCTTTGTCATTTTGTGGTTAGGATACATGCAATCTTGCATGTGTTCTGTCAGAGTTAGGACACACGACAACCTAATAGAAATTTTTATTTGTAGTGTCTTTTTATTTGGTATACAACATTGTTTAGAAAAGTTAACAGCACCAAAAGATTAAAAAAGAGAAAGAAAGCAAGTAATTTTTAAAGTTACTTTATGCGCAAATAGATCTGACACATAGACCTCCGAGTTGAATCAAAGAATTCTAAGATTTCCTGAAAAACAAGATCTTAAAATGTCCAACAGGAAAAGCTGAGTCTGAAAGCAAAATTTTGCTTTGTCATTATGGGACAGCGGAAAGGTGGGCGGTCATGAGAAAAGGCCGTACTTGGGTTTAATCCGTAAAGGACTGTTCGCCAGGCAATTAAAATGCACGTATGTTTCGACTTCGAATGGGATCTTAGTAAGTAAAGAATTTACGACCGCGCGTGATCACTGACCATGAGATACTGCTACATGTTTGAGTACGTAACGTCGAAATGAGTGGTGAGTAAGCTTAGAAAAGAAAAAAAAAAGTAAGCTTAGAAGCTGTTTAAGTTAATCCACGATGGCGACAGCTCGTAGAATAACCATCATCTTGATCTGTTACACCATATTGTATTACTAATAAGTCAAGAAATCTGTCTGGTAGCAGCCTAGAGTTTGCTAAGATATTTTACCTTAGATTCTGCAGGAATTTTGTTCTGTCTCTCCTTTTTAGTCATTACCGGATGTCTTCTCTCTCACCTACAGATCAAGTTGCCAGACTTTTCCTAAAGGTCTTTCTGGTACAGGTTCCGCGAAAACCATGTGTTCTCTTAAAAGGAATTTACAAAGCGACGTCGCTTGAAAGACAAATTTGAACTTGCTTGTTGACATCAGTAGCAATATCGGAAAAATCAGTTCAAAGCTACACATCTATGCATTCATTTAGGGAGCACACAGTAGATCGTATAAAGGGGCCTTAAAATGAAACGAAACGGCAATAGCATTACTTTGGAATTGATAAAAAAAATTTAAAGATAAAAATAGGAAAAAACAGATTGAAAAAAAAAATAAATAAAGAAAAAGAACAGAATTAACGAGCGCAGAATTCACGAAAGAAGCAAAAGATAACTTGCTCCGCTCTTTTTGGACAAAAGAAGTTTCATGTGGTGTGGCTTGATGATAAATATTAATTTCCACATTTTTAAAGTAACTGGTCCAAACAAAGAAATGCGTTCCAAAAAAGGTTTTATATATTTAGAAAGCTATTTTAAAATGCGAGTCCATCTATAGCTTAGAGAAGGAAATTTGCCACAAGAATAACAAAGGATTATCAGCTCATTTAGTTTAAACTATCGTTAGCCGCCTATCCTTGAAAAAAAGTTATGTACAGGATTCATACATGTATCAGTTTCTACAGACGTTTGTGATTCTTGTTAACCAAATGTATTGATAAACATCGCTTAGGGAGGTGATGGCCATTACTGGCGCTTTACGGGGTCTCTTCTCCTCAGCCTGAGGATTAAAAAGAAGTGTCCACACCATCAGTCTAACGGGAAATTCAAGCAGTAAAGGGCTAAGGGCTTATCTCAATCCTTCTTAGTGAACCACGGGCTGATAAGGACAGCTGTAAACATCACCTGTTTAAAAAATCACAGATAGAATTTAACAGATTACAGCCATTGTTTTCAATAGATAATGTTTACAGCCATAAATAAAACAGTCTAGATTTGTTCAGTACAACTTTTACCCTTTTACACTTATCAGCAGTTTATCGATCTCAAGATTCGGCGATCATTAACAAACCATCTGGAAGCTTAAGGCTAATTTCAATCTTAGTTACAAAAAATCCACTCGTCTGTAATGGTATTTGAGTTCTAGTTCTTTGAACATGGCAAATTTGTCTGAGATAATTAACAGCGATAAAGACTTTAGCTTTCCTACCGTTCAATGTAAACACACAAACGAGAGCTTAACCATGAGACGGACCAGATAACTGGTTCACAAAACTTTACTCGTCTATCTATACTATAATTAGAACGAAAACCCATTAGTGAACGAATGATTCTAAAAGCCATTAAAATCAATTGCGATTTCTTCCTTTGTATTCTTAATGGAAAAACAAATGCACGATAAAAGGATATTAAAACACAAATGAAACAGTTACGTTTCATTTGTGAAACGGTTTTTAAGGTTAAAACGATTTCCTAAGTTAAAATTTTGACGACGACGTACAAAAGTTACTTTTAAAGGAATCAGAAGATTTTTTACTGGTAGCGGTGTGCTTTCATGATTTTATTGCGTTGTCTAGAGTTTCTCCTTTTCATGAATAATGTCTTTCACGTGTATGCAAGCGAACTAAATGGCTTGGACTGAAACACAATAGTGATACTGATATTCTGTTCAGAACGACCTGCTAACCGTAAAATGGCCCATAATCTTGGCTACTGAACAATGGACGTAAAACATCAAACTGACAAATTGTAGTTCACCATGAAGTGAGAGAACTAGAGGATCCTTTTATATGACACCGCCAATGTACTTTTTAACTTTTCTTCACGTGCTGGTGGCAGCCAGTGATGGATTCCTTCAATAACCACGGTGTAAAATTTCGGCTGATAGAGTGGAAATACTAAAGACGTGAGGGCGTTTTAGTCTACTGAGCTCAATTTAAAGGTATTTAGCAATTGCCTATAATTTTCTGTTGTCGGGAAGGGCTTCAGAGATTAGCAGCTGATGATCATTTGTTAAATAGCTGTCTAGGCTGCGTCGAATTGACAATGAAAACTTTCTGGTTTTTTCTTGTTTCATCTTTCTTGAATTTCGTAGCGATATTTTCTTGATAAATTTATAACAATGGTCTTATAATTGCATCTTTGTTTTTCTTGGCCTTTGACTCAGGGTAACAGATCTTCCATTGAAACAAAGAGGCTTTGCGTTTTGACTGAGAGGACTGTTGATCACAGTAAATTACTACGTGTTATAATTTTCACGCGATCACACCTCGTTTATCATCATGTTATGTTTAGAAAGAGTGTATACCTTGCGCGAAATTTTATTGCATCATTAGCCAGCTTAAGTCTCATGCAAAAGTTTGGTGGCTCACCTCACGCAGCTTTGCCCAAGTGACTTCGTATGAAAGAACCTTCAATAATTGCTACCTCTTCTGGACGCGATATTTTAAGACATCGTCGAAAGAAAATAGATTGCCTTGTTTCCTGTTTGCAGACAAAAATTTACGCTTTGGGCCAAACTTTAATATTTATATAAAAATGCTAGAATTATTTCTCATCCTGTCTTGCAAAAATAGAAAGAATTCGAGGTATCTTTATCCAAAAAAGCTGACCGAAAATTCTAAAGCGGAAACTTTAAAAATTAAATATAAAATTAAAAAAAATTGCATAAGACCCTCCACTGCAATTGGAGGGTTTGGGGCGTACGTGAAAACTTGCAAAGTCGAAGATTATAGCGGAATGAGAAAACGGAACATTGTCATGTACTCAGTTATTAGTTTCTTAACAAGATCAGTGGTGGGAGGCTTCTGAGAAATTAGAAATAAAACGGATTTAGGAACACAGCAACGTAATGATTAATTAAAAATGGCTAATTTGTAAAAAATAACTACTGTTATCTCGCCACAAAAATGCTTGTAACCCAAGAATTATATGGAATCTACGCTCTCTTTCTGTTCAAAAATGTTCGCGTAATTACTTGAAAACAAGTTGTTAACTTTCTTATCTAACTGTTGCATTAGTATGAACACAAATGACATTAGCGTTGCAGACCGTGGCGAAAGAGAGGATTCATTTCCGAGTATTGTTTATCGCCAGCTTTGTAGCAGATTGACCCGGCGGCGACATCGAGTGAATTCAAGCGTCGTGAAGGTGGTGTCGGTAAGTTGGATTAATTAGATCATTGTAATCCGTCCTAATCTTGTTCAAATCCATCCATCTGTACGTCTCTCTGGCCCCCCACAATTTCCTTTGTGATTATTTAACAGTTTTGACTGTTATGGAGACATTTTGTTTACAATATCACCTTATACCGTTATATATCTAATAAGACTAGCAAATACGGCTTAACACGCTGATATCGATCGTCAACTGCCGACAGATAGTCAATCTATAGAGAGACACAGTTTGTTTGTGTCTGAATTCGAAAGTGAAAGAAATTTGTACTTACTTGAAGAAAAAAGGTAAGATTGAGAGTTTCCAGTTCTTTCTTAAGAACGTCCAAACGAGTTTAAGAGGACTTTGCATTTATTTACCTAAACAGTAGGTTAATATAATACAATTTAAAATTTGTGGTATTGTTTGTTATGCTGTGAAAGATTGTTATTGGCGATGAAACCGAAGTGTGACCATTTCGGTGAAAGCTTCTGAAGAGAAAATAGGGCCTTCAGTATCTCGACATAAAGTCAAAGTTAGCCACGAGTTTTCCCGTGAACGGTGTGCAGCTAACCAAATAAATGAAGGCAGTGTGGCCATCAGACATTTAAACGCCAAATGTTTATGTTTCTTTAATTGCACAAGGAAGTTTTGACCATGTAGCTATTGAGTTTGTGGTTGATTGAAAACCAGTGTAACATTTGAAAGGAAGTCTGTTGAGCGTTGCTTTGTTCAGTACCACATCGATGATATCTGAGCGGAGTAACAGACTTTAAATTGACCTCGGTGCTTTGGTCGATGTAGGTGGAATTCTATATTTAAACTTTTGCCTAGCGAACCACAAACACGTGCCTTGAAATAAGATAACAACCATCAGATACGTCCCTTGTGAATATGATATATTAGTGTAATAGCACACTCTTCGGGAACCTTTCAATACTTCCTGTAAAATTCCTTAACGTACAAGGGACATAATTAGTTCACATAACTTATATCTTTCGGAAGTTTCATTAAATAAGAAAATTCCCAGACGGTTTAATTCCTTGGTTCAATACGAAATTAGAATGGCACTCTTCAGTTTGCAAGAAACAAGAGAAAACTTCAGTCATTAGGAGTTATAAAGCAATTGATATCAGTTGTGATAAATGACGTTATAAATATTCATGTATGAGAGATGAATTTTTATTTCCTAACAAATTTTGTACACAAACTAAAAAAGGGTTTAAAATGAAAGTGCTCTGGCACAGGTATAAGCATGGATATAAATGTGCATTTTACACATTTAGATCCTGCTCTCTTGGAGGGGAATTCTATATCGGTATGTTTAACCTCACAGCCCCTGCGGAAGTGCATTTGGTCACGTCCGAATCTTATTCATCAGTAAATAAGGAAATTATTTATCAGCCATTTAGCATACGCATTATCGGGCCATAACGTCGTTAAGCGGCATATTCAAGGCATATCAGTGCGGCGGAAGGAATACAGAGGGTACAAGGTAACTTGAGTTTAAGTACTTTCAGGTAAATTCTAATACGATATTTTCCCAGCTGAGGTTTCTGTTTTCACAGCTCCCTTAACACAATGTACGGGTTAACGGCCGACAAAGTCGTAATTCTGTTGTTTACAACATTAACTTGAAGCACAGAAATGACGTTATGTGCAAGAGTCGCGGATCAAACCCTCAAACAAAGCTTAAAATCGCGCAAATGTCGGCACATTTGATTTAAACTTTTGTCTTCTCCGACCACATCTGTAAGAGGGTCATATGGCTGCAATAAAGGACTGAAGACAGTAGAAACCGATGTGAAGTCACTCAACCACTTTCATCCATTGCTGATTCATCACATAATGTGTGTGTTAATGATAGCGTCTCTCTGATGAGTTACCATTGCACTGTTTGTTTGTATCTGGTCATAGAAGTAGGCCTGATCCTATTGGATCAAATATTTAAAGTGTTATGATAACTGCGTCAAGATTTCAATATTTCAATTGTTCATTTCTAGAGAAAGACTGTTTTTATAATTAAACAAAACATTTCTTATTTCAGGTTCATCGATTTGAAGCCTGACGTTTGGAAGCGGTTTGGCTCTAAGGATCAAGAGTCATGTCAGGTATTTCTGTTTGAACACTTTGCTGCTAAATAATCTCGTGCAAGACATAATTTCTCCTTCCAATATGATACAATATCAACAAGACAAGCGATAACAGTAAGGAAAAATATCAATTTTTAGTTGATCCAATACCGAATTCTCCAAACTTACATCATAAGAATAATATGGAAGGTAGTAAGGAGAATTACTAAGGAAGTCTTGGGTGTTGAAGGATTAAGTTTTTTCTTAATCATAATTTTGAAGAAGATAATAAGAAGAAGATAATTTGGGAAGATAAATCAGTTTTGCATTACTATAAGTGTTTGTGGTGTTATCAATACAACAGAGAAGTGGATGCTACTCCAGAAACTACAATCCTCGTCCAAACGAAAATAGATCGCATATTGTACATATATACGCTCAAGTTGGCAAAGGTGTTTGCCATCATTTCAGTAATGAAATCCATTTTTTCTTATCATATGTAGCAATTTTACTGAATATTTCATTTATCCGACTCATCAAACAAACGTTCCGCATCTATTTCACTCACTGCTCTTGACCCAGACATGTGAAGAACGTGATTCAGAATGCAAACTTCACAAAATGTATTTGCAACAGATCAATGAGGGCTTTAAAGTCGAATCACTAATATTTTGACGTGGCTTAAGTGAAACTGATACATCTTCGACAGTCGCTGAAAATTTGGGTACGTTTTCCAACACCGAATTTTTAGTGTTAAAGCTTAGCCCCTGTTCCAGGCATCCCATATGAATAAACTGCTAAAATGAGAAAAAAAAGGATCTTTCCAGTCAGAAAACTATCTCTCACAGCCTAGAATCAATAGATCTTAACTACTCCATCAGCCTTAACATCATGGGTAATTTTCTTCCAAAGTTCAATACGGTTTTGAGGATATCAATACAATATCAAGCAGACAAAGGATGAAAACAAAGAAAAAGTATCTATTAGGGGATGATTAGTTGATTTGATAACAAATTTTCCAACCAACGTCATAAGAATTTTATAGCAGACAGTAAAGAGAATTACTAATGAGATCTAGTGAATTCAAGGGTTAACTCTTCCGCAAATTATAACGATGGAAAATGTTACAAGAGTCGATAGCTAAAAAACTCGAAATGAAATTGTCGCTTCACAAAAACATGTTTTTTTTTCAATTTGCAAGGATGTTTGCGTTATCCATTCCGCCTCTAACTGTCTTTATCTTATATCATTTTTCGTATATGCGTTTGAATAAGATCTTTTATATTATATAAGCTACGAACAGAATCACCACCAATTGACCAGTTGTTCTTTACTGTAAAGCCCAACATTGCAGATGACTTTACTCTGGAAATGACATAATTTGACTTTTCTAGTTACCAACAAAATCTAAAACAAAAAAAAAGAAAAAAAAGAGCATGGTATTCATTATTGAAGATCATTTGAAGATAGTTACAAATAATTATGTCCGATTGGTGTAACGTTACCCCGTTCTTTGTCTTCGCTATATATAGATTTCTTGCTATATTTTAGCTCTTAAGCATCAGGGTGGGCCTTATTGCAAGAAAGAAAGCGCGTATGCTTGAAAATTTACGGTATCTCAGTTATCAAGGGGTTTACCTTAAGCCTATCTATTTGTAGAAATGTTTGAATGGGATTAGTAAGATAAAAGGAAAGATAACGGAATTCTTGTACCGGTAGTCGGTACTTCTGTCAGGCAATAGCTGCATCAAAGGCAAAACAATAGAATTTAGCTCCTTTGGATTCTCTATCAAAGTCAGACAAACAGAGACGTGGAGTTGAACGCCGCGCCTATGGGATAGTCAATTGTCCTCAAGTGAGGTTATCAATCAATCAATCTCACAGACCTGCCAGAGACAAACAATGCTCACGAAGGATAATTTGTAAAGAGTTTAGGCCAATTAGAAAGCCAATTAGCTTTTGTAATAAGCTCTTTTCCTGAGCACCATATCGTTGGCAACCATGGATATCTTAGCAAAGTTATCACGACTCTTCTGAAAACTGTTCTATGTTTTTTCTTCCAACAAGTATGGGAACTGGGCTCAGTTTACCCTGACTCTTGTTTGACTATTTTCGATGTAATTTGTCGCTCCGATTTAATGAAAAACGTACAACAAGTATATTTATTAGGTTGAAAGCCTATACGAGACATTAAAAAGAAAAAACTGACAAGTGCTTTTATAAGAAGACATTGTGTTGCAGCACCACCTAAAACAAATGAATGACAAAACTACTGTCTGTAATTTTTTTTTATTAGGAAGAGTGGGCATAGGAGGGTTTATTTGAGAAGGGATCTTTGTTTATAAGAGGCGGCTTATCAGAGAGGGAGGTTATCAGAGAAAGGGGCCAATTAGAAGGACGAGTTCTCTAGAGGGGGAAGCCTTTCGGAAATGGGAGTTTACGAGAGAGGGGGACTTATCAAAGAGGGGACCTATTAAAGGGGGTATAGAGAAGGGGGCTAACTAGAAAGGGACGTTTCATAGAAGGGGAGGCCCTTTAGAGAGGGGGGTTTATTAGATGGGGGGATTTAACAGACAGGGGGTGGCTTATTTAATAGGGGGCTAATTAGAGAGGGAGGTTATTAGAGAAAGAGGAAAATTAGAGAGGGAAATTTCCTAGAAGGGTAGGCGTTTTAGAGAAGGAGATTTAACAGAGAGAAGGGGCTCATTAGAAAGAGAGCCTATTGGAATGGGGAGTCTATATAGAATGAGAAGCTCGTTGCATTTTTTTATAATAAATACAATAGTTGAGTCTTGAGGACTAAAAGGCTACACCCTGACACTAAGTTTTTGTTTTTTTTTCTCTTTCTCTTCCTAGAAATTTGATTAAATTTTCTGACTTTGTCTCACAAGGGATTAATCGATTGAAAATCTGATTGGGGTGCACGTGTGGGATGTGTTTTTATGGATTCTGTCTCTGACCTTGAAAATTAGTTGAAGTGCTATTACACAACCTCGCCTTCCTTAACGGTTTCGTTACCAATTCAGTTCTAAGAGGTTCAAATGTTTGCTATGGTTATAAAAGTGTGAAAAAATCATATCTTTGTGATAAAAAAATGCCCAGTTCCGAAACAAGGGGGCATAAAAACGAAACGTGCTCTAATCCAGATCAAAATGGATAAAACCTTTCCCCTATTTCAGACAAAGTCAGCTATTAATAAATTCAGAGAAAATCCAGTCGGCGCCGCGTATATTTTTAGACCAAAGAGAGTCTGCACATGCAGGAATCTCGGTGTGGAAGGATTAATCAAAGCTATGCTTCAAATGATCTTATTTTTTCCTGTCACCTAAAAGGGTGTCATCAAGACCCACAGAAATTATTGAACTTGTAGGCTTGTCACTTCTATCGTAATACAATTTATCACACGATGATGGTTTTGAGGGCATCTTGTAATCTTTATGCTTTGTTGAGAGAGCTGATCCCCCTGGAGAAGTCTTCATTAACAAGATAATTGCACCGAGACACCATAGGCTAATCAGCTTGTTAATGGAGACAATCCAACAAAGTAGCATTCAGGAAACACACTCTCATCTTTAAAATACACCCAAGTTGTCGAATAGTGAGAAAAAAGAGCCACCTGACCCAGACCAGACTTCTTAACTCAATAAATGTTACATCTATTATTATCTTTCCGGTCGGAAAGTGACCTCATAAAGACTGGCTCACTAAAATTATATAAGTAACCATACGTGTCATTGATAGGTATCCGTAATATATGATTATATGATCTTTTATCGTTCTTGAAAGTTTCATGTTCCTCGTATAAAATTTAGTTTGCACTTAGTGAATTTTGAGAGATTGTCGTAAGAACCAGAAAATTCAATCTAAGCCTCCAATAAGAATATAGGAAAATAATTCAGCGAGTCAATGAGGACTCTAAGTAAATTCACCGAACTGACTTACAGCGCTGGAAACCGAGAGGAAACAGGTCGCTTATGATTTTAGTGTTGCATCTGATTTCTTGAGAAAGTAGCTCGAAGTTATTGAATGAATTGCACAATGCAGTAAAGCAATGCCTTAAAAAGTTGCAATCTGGCATCAGTTTAGATACGCGACCGAAGATTGCTTTGTCTGTTTGATATCCAGAATCTTCGACAGTGTACATGAACGGAGGCACATGTACTGTTAAAGAGAAGACGCTTGCACAAATTTTCTTAAAGCGTCTAAGTTTGCTGCAAAGTATTATAAGTCATGATCACTTTCCCACGTTCAACCTTCGACACTCTCTTTCCACGGTCGCTAGCAAACTTCATAACTGGCATTAAGTTTTCTGGGCGAGTTAATAACCAATATATTTATGCAATTTTTCTTCACTTGTTTTTATACAGAACGCAACAATCCCGAGAAGGAACAGAAACAAACTCGATACAAGAATACCATACACTTGTGGGAGTTTTTATTGGAACTTCTGGAAGACGAAAGATACATCCCGTTAATTTCATGGACAAAGAAGGAAGATGGAGAGTTCAAGATTAAGAGACAGGAAGAAGTAGCCAAACGATGGGGTCGCCTAAAACAACGAGCAGGAATGAATTATGATAAACTAAGCCGTGCGCTGAGGTATTATTACCAGAAAGGAATTATAAAGAAGGTCAGTGTTGGAGAATACTCAATTTTGCCTCCGCGCGAGTTACGCTGAGCAAATTGTATCTGTTACGTTACAGCGTGACATTTACGCATATGTTTAAGGTCACGCAATGATATCACGTTCATAACATTGATAACGAGTAACACTGCAGAGTTTAGTCAACACGCCCATTGGCTGCAATATCATTTCAATCTACTTCATGAAATTTAGTTTTCTCTATTATTGTAGGAGCCCTGTCTGTGAAAAAATAGGTATCGAGAGTGAAACATCGAGGAAGCCTGAAATTGTAGAGGAAGTAAACTCGTACTTCAGCACCAGCACAGGCACTATACCTTAACAATTATAAAGCGGAGCAATGCTCTGTTTTTAGATGCAGTTATCGCCTGGTGCATTCTTCAAAACCACGAGACAGTAATAGTTTTAGCCATAGGGCGAAAGGACTGTATACAGTGAAATGAAGGCCATCACGGAACGCGTGTAATTTCTATCTCTTTTTCCGGCAATGTGACACATTTTCAGGCTAAAATATAGATTTTTGCGAGCTAGAATGCATTTTATCCCGCTCACGTGACTGTTTTGTATTTTTTGTGATAGTGACCATGATACAGTTTATGTACTAGGACATGAAATGGTTTGGGCTCAGTTACCTGAACCCTGAACCCCAACTCTGGGTCGGGCTAAAAAAACCTATTGATACCCGGGAAAATAAATAAACGCAGTTTAGTTATTCTAACATGTTTTCCCTTTTTACGTTAGGTACAAGGTCAAAGACTTGTGTATAAATTCCACAAACTTCCTTACGCGTACAAACCGGTGAAGTATAACTGGCCTTGGCGACCACCCGTAGAGGACAACTCCAAACCAGAAAAACCTGATATCGTTTCCGTTCCGGTTTCGTTGACGACGCACTGGCCTCTGATGTCCATGTTTCACTCAAATAGCCAACCACAGCGTCAGCTCAGCGCACCCGCGAACCACCATTACAGTTGTCTTGAATGTACTCCGCGAACCCATGCGCCAACAGTTTGTAGAAGCCAGATAATGTTTCCACCATGTAGTTGTAGGGGGTCAGCGGTTTACGGATGCGGATTGCGCATGCTCCACGAACCAAGCTCTATGCCTGTTCAAGTGATAACGAGATTTGTTTAGTAATGCTTTAAGATGGTCGCACATGGCCGCTCTTTATTTCATTTGTACAAATTTTGATAAAATGATCAGAAAAAATTGCTTTCGCCATCGTGTGAACGTTTTCTACAAGAACTGAAGATTCAAAACGTATCTGAGAACGAGATAATTTCTCGTGAGACCTTGCGACTCAGAGTCCACATGCATGTTATTTTACCTTCAGATAAAACGTTGCCCGAAACAATATCGACCGACAATAACATCACTCGAGAAAAAAAAGGTGAGATATTGTTTTAAGGTAAGAACGGTTAGAAACGTGAGTGTTTGAATATGTAGTTCAGCTAAATGTATTTCCTTTGTTATGTAATAAACAGCAACATTAGGTAGCTTTAACTTACATGTAGCCCATGTATACTTTGTTTGGCCTTGAAAGTAGTAGCAATGGACTTTCATCACACATCGGCAATTTCGATTACTTGGACAATAAAAACTTGTTTCTCGTATATTTGTTTTACGCTTCGAAGTTAGTCGGGCAAATTCTTTAAATTTAATGCAAATTATAACATAGCTAGTAAATTTGTCCAATCAAATTCAATGGCGCGAGCGTGCTTCATATTCCTATTGTGCAAGCTCATGACGTCAGCAAACAAATCCCTTGAGAAAAAAATTTCCATCGGGTCGAAAATGTGACAATTGGCTCATACGTCAGCTGTGCGTTCATCGAGATATGAAGCACGCGGGAAGTTTGGAGAGCACGAAAGATGCGTAAGAGTTGCTCGAGGCGTAGCAACTCTAGCTTCTTTCGTGCTCTCCAAACTTCCTGCGTGCTTCATATCTCGATGAACGCACGCTGACGTATGAACCAATTGTTAATTTGTGGATGCGAGATAAGGATCCTATTAAAAACCTCCAAACAATATCCCGAGGTGTTTGCCTTTTGATCTACTCGTTGTTTCACTTAATTATTAACCCGAGGCAAATCATGGTCAACTTAACCTATGTCGGGCTTCTTCAAGGGATGTTTAAGAAATTTAGTTTTGCTGTGACGTGTGTTTATTAACTGGAAAAATGGCGGAGTCCTCCTTGAATTGAAACAAATTAAGAGCGAGTAGAAGTCGCAAGTTCCTTTTTTAAAAGTTTAATCAATCAGAGAAACCAGGAATGTCTGTAAACTTCAACTAAAGAACTGAGTCTGCATTTTACCCCTGGTCTGCAGTCTTCAGTCTGCGTTTTACACTGACCGATTGTTATATTCTAAGTATTGCTTAACGCTAATTTAACGACGGGTTAAAGCTCGAACGTCAGCTTTCGGAAACTATTTAAGGTGATTAATTTAAATTATCCACTAAGTTGATAAAACCAAATTATCTTGTAGAACCCTCACCAACGCAGCAAATAAAATTTTCCCCCCTTAATACCTAATAATAAGACTTTATCATCACTACATTCAGGTCAGATTTTACTTCGTTTCATAAAAGAAGCCCGTAAATTCTAGACATTAAGTTGGTTTTGCGAACGTGCCTTTCATTTTCATTATGAACGGTGTTTAGGTACGTGCACGCATTGAAGCGTAGGAAATGACCTTTTTCAAAATGCAAAATTTCAACAGACGCGCCGGAAATATTTTAAAACAAAGGTTTATGCTTCAGCTGTGCGTTCATTGCGGTACGAACAATGATCTTGGAACGCGGACCTGCTTCCAGCTGGGTCTTGCTAGAAGCTTTTCCAAACTTCCTGTGTGCTTCCTATTTCTATAAACACCTTGACAAATGAAACAATTATTTATTTGTTCGATGGGCATAATGATAACACCCACACAGATCATGCAAACGTTTTGACTTCTTCGCTGCTCGCAATTCGGATCATATGATGACTTTTGAAAGAGTACGTACGATAAACGTGTCACATTCAGCCAAGTACAAAGGAGTATGTACCAAACGAAACTGTTTAGACCCCATGAGGACTCACACCTTGGCTGTGAAAAAGGATATAAACACGCTAAGGTGAGTATTCCCTTTTTCCTGCTTGTCAAAACAGGCTGTACAGATGCATTATTATTGCGTCTATTAGTTCCCGACTGGATTAGCCTTCAATTTCTTCATTAGCTTACGCCCAGTGCTAACATTGTCGGGACGCCTAATTTAGTGCCAAAAAACGTTTTCACTAAGATTCTGCCGTTCGTTGGTATAATGAAATTGAAAATATAATCCTCGAATTTTTGAAGCCGCCACAATTTTGTACTCAAGGTAATGAATTTGAATTTCAGTTTCTCCTCTTTGCTTTGCGAAGGTAGTATTACCCTTGAATTAGCCAATCAGCGAGTGCAATCCGATATGGATCGGTTTCACACTCCAGCCTTGTCATAATGGACTAAAATAGTGGTAAATGTTGTGGTCACAAACTTAGCATAAATATAATTGCGTCAAATATGTCCGTCTGTGGACTAGAAATCAATCCGTTGTTGTATGCACACTAAATACATTTGAGCTCTTAGCTCAAAAGCAGATTCACGAACTCAACAGGCAAGTTTACTCAAGTATCTATAGATGTTGATTCGGACTTCCTTCCTCTGCTTTCGAAATTGAAATAAATTAGCGCATGTCGCAAAAAAGGGGCCATAACTCTTCTCAGAAGGGGAAACCGCTTTCAATTAGATGATATTTCTTAAAAATATTTCCTCCCCATTCTTTTTTGTTAAGTACCCTAAAAGTCAGAATTTGATATGAAGGTCCATCGGTTTCGCAGCCAGCCTTGTCCACTTCCAAAACAGAATCATCATTTTTACTTCGTACGAGGCTCACATTTTTGTAGGAGAAATTGACGAATGGCGAAATTTACAACCGGGACCCGGGTGGTTTGCGCTCACTCCCTACTGGACGACTTGGGAGAAATAAAAGGACCTTAAAACAGCCTGTTACAGTCACCGACGGAGGCGAGTGAAAGAAAGGGCGCGAAATAATCGGCGGTTGTGGGTGTCAGGCTTGGAAAGAACCACGAATTATTTTTCTTTGCTTTATACCTGCCACCAAGTTCCGCGCGCACACTTTGTCGCTTGTTTCCTTTAAACTAGGAGTCTTCCGCAAGCTTAACTCAAGCACGAGTAGATTTCTTTTGTCTTGAATGAAGAGCATTATGGCCCCATTCAGCAATACCAATAAACCAACCTAAGTAAGCTTATTGTATATGGAAATATTTGAACTGGTTTTCAATGACCAGCGATGGATATTAAGACTAAATCGACTTAAAATTAAAGGAAAATTTTACGTTGACACAATTCTCTCTTTTGCATTTGAAGAAAAACCTTTATTTTCAAATTCATCGCGCAAAAACTGTTTTAATCTTGGCTTTCCTTAATCATTTCTGTTTCTTCTTGATCATTTCATATCTCTTTTTGTGTTCAGTTCGTCCGCTCCGGCATTTACTGGGGAAATATTGTACTCAGCTTAAAGTGATTGAAACTGTCTTGAAGCAACTTCTTCACAACACTATCTTATGGACAAACAGCAAAGAGGAACTAGTAAACAGGAAAGAGCTAAAGACTTCCTTTCCACGAAAGATTATTTAATAGTCCGGAAAATTACAAAAACAAAATTGAAAAAATTAAGGAAATTTTAAATTAAGTTCGGCTCATGAAAAGTTTGGCGTCTCAAATAATGAGGTTAATGACAGACAAAATTACAACGAGTGGCTGAAAAATAACGAACTTGAGAATTTTCCCAGATAAACAGACCGTGATGTATGTCGTGAACCATCCACGCTGTTTCGTAAAGGGCAGCTACATATAATGTAAGAAACCGTATAAAAACACGTGCTCAGTCAACTTATTAATTATTGGTGAAGTTTACAGATAGGTTAGTGTTTGAAGATTTTTCCAGACGCTGTTTTCTCATAATAATTATTTTTATGTTTGCAGTGATACAGTTACAAAGTACCTGCAGTTAAGCGATGACATGGAGGTTCGGTGTCTAAGACTGTGGAGACGAGAAGACCAGCGGGGAGATATCATTGGACAACACAAGGTCTGGTTGAAAATTCAAGGTACTTTCTTTATTAAAAACCCAATTGAGCACACGTGCCATTTTGCATGCTGCAGTTCTTAGATTTTTCTTATTTCTGATACTGAGTATTAAAAAAAAATTACTATTCAGGGTAAATTTTGATTCGTCTCAAGCAATGTGTGGTTGAAACTAACTTTTAACGCATGCCAATACAAACACCTCCAAATGAAATTTCTTAAAAATGGGAAATGGTTTAGGCAAAAAAATTAGGAAAAAATATTCCATATGAAAGTTACCATCGATAATCTAAAAGTAACAGTATATTTTAACGACAAAGTAACATAGATAGGTGCATGCACACATCAGTTCTGCCATTAAGTGTACCTTCGATCAGCATGTGTATTTCAAAATCTCTGCGTGGGAAAATGATAAGACTGTGGTTGTTTCGAAACAACGATAAAGGTGATATAGACAAAAGTGGTAAAACTCAAAGAATTTTTTTAAAAATAAAATTTGCCTTTGACAAGTTCGTAATACCAACATGATCGTCATCTCCGTAACGAGGAATATTCCTATATAACATTTACAGCACTTGGTCATGTTGCGCCCAGTCACCTCGATAAAGAAGCATCATTTTTCTTCGGCAGTGCCATATTTTATTTCACTGACGGAATCTTGCCTATAGCACGATACGTCTTTTACTTTTAAAAGGAAGAAATATTTTCAATGTTTTTGCACAGTATCATTTCAACAACGAACCTCACACATCGTTTCGCTTCAGCACGTGTTTTCTCACAAAAGCCGCCCTAGTGTTTTTGGAAGCAGTTTTGCCAAAAAGCTTTCATAAATATTTAACCAAAAATTATGCTATTGTTGCACCTGCGGTTTTCCAAGCACATGGAGTGGTCGCTCACATACAGTGGAGACGAACTGACCAGGGCTGCCAAATTAGAAAATAGCAATATCAATCAGCCCCCCCTTATAGCTATTCTTTTAAGTCATTCAAAAGATTTCTGGATCCCTTCCGTATTACAATGTCGGATCGACCGCGTGCAGCAACTTGAGTGACATGGATTTCAAAGATATTTGAGTTTTTTTTTCTTCACACAATTAGTAGTCACGTATAACTCCGTGAGAGTATTGATAAATTTTAAAGTTGCACGTGTTTGAAAATAGAATTGTACTCTTCACTATCAAACTCAGCAAACCGTGAGCGCGAAAATATTCAGGGAATATTGTTGTTTTCCCATGGAAGAGCCAATTAGGCGTGGGAAAATGAAATATTCTTGCAAATAAAAATTTCCTTTGAGTACCTTTGTTACATCCCTTCAGCTAAAAAAAATATACAAAAATAATTTGAGAGATCTAATAAATTGTTCATGTTGAAATCCCTCATATA